AAACCCCAGTTTTTAAAGTTTTTTTCTTCTCTTTTTTAGTAAAATGTATACGGGGGAAGGGGTTACAGCCCATTGCTCCCGGCATTTTAGTCGCCTCATACGACACGCATGGCTTACGGGGGAAAGTTCTTTTCCACTTTCCCCCGGACAATAGGAAAAAAACAAAACAAGACATTAAAATAAGGAGAAAAACCTAATGTAAAAATATATATAGCATGTGGGTCTGTGAAGTGTGACCAAAGTGTAAGTAGGAGTAGCAAGATATCCCGTTACTAGCGTGTTTTTTGAAAGAAAAAAAAAACCGCAATCCTACCATCATCAAAACAGTTACAGGTTTTTGTTTCCAGTCACTGGCAGGCGAGTACTTCCTGGTGGTTGCTGTTACCCAAACCTACTACCTAGAATTTCTTTAATTTTTTCTGCAAAAAAAAAAAGCTGAACATTTTTTTAAAGGGAATGCCCACCTAAACTATTTTCAAGGGTGTGGAAGATCACTCAACTTTACCTTCCCCCTGCTTTCCCGTAGTTAATACCTTGTTGATGAAAAGCCTGTATTGGTGAAAAGTTTCGACAATAAGGACATGCAAAATATCTTGCCCTTTACTCCTGGAGTTTTTACCTGGAGAGAGTTTCGGGGGGCAAAGCCCCCCGGCCCGGTCTGTGACCGGGGCCTCCTGGTGGTCCGGCCCCGACAACCCGGCTGTTTCTGCTGGCTGCACGCAAAACCCAAAGTACGAGCCACGCCCGGCTGATCAGGAACTGACTTTAGGTGCTTGTCCAGTGCCAGCTTGAAGACTGCCAGGGGTCTGTTGGTAATCCCCCTTATGTGTGCTGGGAGGCAGTTGAAAAGTCTCGGGCCCCCGACACTTTTTGTATGGTCTCTTAACGTGTAGGGACCCCCTGTTTTCATTGGGGGGATGGTGCATCGTCTGCCCAAACTTTTGCTTTTGTAGGGTGATTTTTGTGTGGGAAATTCGGTACTAGTCCCCTAGGGGTTTTCCAGGTGTATTAAACTGTATCTCTCCCTCCCGCGTTCCCGGGAAAACGGTTTAGAAACCCCAAGCGCTCCCCGTAATTTTAGGTTTTTATCTCGTTAGCGCGCGTGAAAGTTCTTGTCATTTTCTAGGTCGGCAATTTCACTGCCTTAAAGGGGCTGTTAGATGCAGCAATATTCCCGCCTAGATAGAACAAGTGACCTGAAGAGTGTCATCATGGGCTTGGGCCTCCCTAGTTTGAAGGGTTTTCATTATCCATCCGTCTTTTTTAGCAGATGCGTTGATACAATGTTATGGTCCTTTAAGGGGAGATCCTCCCAATAATCACTCCCAGGGCTTTGACGTTGGGGGTTTCGCTTATTTTGTGGCCAAATTTGTTTTTTTACTCTGATGAAATTTAATTTCCCCTGTTTACCTATCTGAGTAATTTTTAAATTTCTCACGTTGAACTTCATTTTTGTTTTCTGCAGCCCACTGAAAAAGATTTTGGGTTTATGTCCCCCTGGGCCTTCAGTGTCTGCAATGGAAGCACTGTCATGCAGTTTGGGGGGGATCTGCAAGGAAGACACGGGCTGGGCTGACATCTTGTCATGTCGGATAGAGGATGAGGGAAAAAGTTGGACTAGTACGTGCCTTGTGGAACAGGCTTTTCACCGTAGCTCCCCGGGCTTTCCTGTTGACGACTACTCTCTGGTCGTTGTGAGGAAAATTTTAAACCTGACCGACTTTTCCTGTTATTTCCCTTTTGCGCGCTTTTGTGCGCTATTACGCCATGGCACCTTGCGAAGGTTTTGCAAAGTTGTTAATTCATCTGCATTCTTTTTTTCTTTAGTACATTTGGCCTTTTCGTAGTGATCCCGTAGTTGAACGACGGAGCGACCTGTTCTAAACCCTTTTTTGCCCTGGGTTGTGTAATGATGGGTTTCTAGATGGGTGGTGATCTTGTTCAGGACCCTTTTAAAATTTTTTTTATATGGGATGTTGTCTATTGGTCTGTAGTTCTTTGCGTTTTTACTGCCCCCTTTGTGGAGTGGGGCTTGTTGTTTTTTTTTTTGTAACTGAGGGCGACCCCCAGTAATGAGGGGCGACCCCCCCCGACTCCCCACAAAAACCAAAAAAATTTGGAATATTTCCAATATTCTACAAGCCATTGAGAACAATAATTTTTTTTATAATTCTTCAAAAATTATTTATTTTCCCAATTGTAAATGGTGGGCTTCATGAAATAAGTGTGTAACTTAATTCTGAGATATTCATTATCACTGCACTAGTGATCTAGTGCAGTCAGCCTCTCAAAAACTCTGTTTTCTCTTACCCAGTACCAAAGAACACGTTATAGGAAGGAGCAGTAATGATTTTATATGCTCAGACTGGTCCTGGACACTCACTATATTATGGCTTATTTTATTCATTCTAGAGTATATATCATGTTTCTGTGTTACTTATAGTGTTTATGTTATATTAGATCAATTCTGAAAGATAAATAAGCCATAGAGTTGATATTAGCATTATATTAAAGTATTTTCTCCTGCCCCTGGGATGGTTTTTTGGGGGCTGGAACGGATTAATGGCATTTCAGTTAATTTCAGTGAGGAACGAATTAAACTCATAAGTCAAGGTACCACCGTATGTATTAAATACCTTCGGCACCTCCATATGATGACATCATCCCTTAAGGAAGGTTCCTTGATGCTGGTGATGGGGGCTTCTGATCCAAGAAATTAAGCTTGTCCTCCCCTTCCTTGGATCAAACCCAGTTGCCTCCCATTCCCCAGCTGCTGAATAACCCATACAGGTTAAGTGCTTCCCCCTAAATATATGAAAACATGATCATGAGCTGTAGTATTAAAGGAAACTCATCAACTTCATATATTTATGCATCAAATATGCTCATAATCAGGGAATAAAATTCAATTTTTAAACTGTCTAAGGCCCCAGAATTAATTACTCTGCCATTTGTCATGTACTAGTACATCCAAGCAATAAACATCGGTGACGTAGTGCACATAATTTATAGCATCTTCAAATTTGCTACAAGTGGCAAATTTAGGCCTAAACATGAGAGAATAAGTCATCACTAGATGTGCACGCTATAAAAAAAATTCCTGTCCCTTGCAGAGCATGTCATAGCAGCTACCCTCTCAACCTTTGTTAAGTATGGCTTCCAGATGTGGATCCCTCACTCCCACCACAGTTGAACACTTTGTTAACACCTACAGCTGCTAACAGTGAATATAGTGGTTCTCATGTGGAGTTCCACTGGATGGAGATGAATGTGAGTCAAGGGGATGGTTACAGTACCGCTTCAAATCCAGTCAACCCACTGCAGCCTGTAGTCAAGTCACTACCTAGTACTAATTCCTCTTACTGAAAAGGTAAAAAGGCTCCAGAGAGATGTTATGTGTGCACTCACATTGCAAGGCCTCCACAATGTTAAGATAAAAGATATAATGTATGTGTAACTCTTATGAAAAACCACTGTGCTTTATCCCTTGTTTTGAAGAGTTCCATATACTGCAAGAATTCTAATAGCATCTATAATGATTGTGCATTAATTAAAAGCAGTCTGAAACTGATGCGGATAAAAACATTCTAGGGTTTAGTGAATGTGTATAAGATAAAATTATCTGGAATTTTGTGGCACAAAATTTGAGTGCTAAAACAAAATAGTGAAACCAGTGTCTACAGAAAATCATGTTTGTTTATAACCAATACCAAACCAAAAAAAACTGTCTAAGGAAAAAAATTGAAAATGGAAAGAATATTTTACCCAGAATCTTCAACTGTGCACTAATATAATTCTGGAAGTCCTGGATGGATTTCATTCATTCTGGTGTTATTACCTATGGAAAAAGGCACTCTGCAATTTTAAGATTTTTTTTAAATTGCACTGCAGGAGGGTAATTTAACTTATGGCCTTAGTTTAAGGGCTAAATGTCCCTTTTTGTCACAGTCTTGAAAAAAAAATGTAAAATATATTTTTCTATAGGTAAAAAGATCCAGATAAAATCTGTTTAGTACTCTCAGAATTACATTGCACTTGATAGCAACAGTGAGTGTTGTTGTATGGGCCAATGTTTCTTTTTTTTATATTTTTTTTTTTATATTGTTTGGGGTTTATTTTCAATTATAAACACTAGAACATGTTTTATTTTTAATGGACACTGGTTTTATTTTAGTACTCAGTTTCATTTTATGTACAACACTGAACTGAGTTTCTATCTAGTTTTTGACTTTCTAACATATATACATATGTACAATCACTTTAGATATACCTTTGAAGAGTTTCGAGAGTATCACTACTCTTGGAGCCCAGCCATGGGCCAAGCTCGGCTGGTGCTTGCCTGGTCAACCAGGTCGCTGCTGCTGGAGGCCCACTGCCCCACATATCCATCACAGCCTGGTTGATCTGGATGCTGTTAGAACTCTTGCAATATGTGGAACTCCTCCAACCAAGTGATAAGGAGCAGTGGTGTCTTACAGTACACACGCAATCTTGTATCTTTGTGGAGGTCTCATGAGCACACATGCATACCACCACCTTGTAGCCTTTCAGTACAGGGATTTAGTGCTAGGTAGATATTGCAATTACCAGAAAACAGACAAGATGGAATTTGCTCAGTTGTAGATATTCCCACGACTCGCGTTGTTCTCCAGTACATGGAACCCCGCATCAGTCATTTTCAGTTAGCGTTGGTAGGCATTAACAATTAGTGGTTAAATGTGGTGGGAGCAAGTGATTCACATCTGAAAGCCATAGCTAACAAAAGTTGAGAGTGTATTTGTTCTCATCATGCTTTGCATGGGGGCAGGAATTTGTATCTACAGTGCACATTTGGTGTGCAGATTCATTCTCTCATGTTTAGGACTAAATTTGCCACATGCAGCAAATTTGAAGGTGCCATGAATTGTGTGTACTAGTACTTCACAGATTCTGCAGGCATACTAGTACATAAGACAGCATTTAACTATGTATACCATATAAGAGAATCAATAATAAAAGACTTTAAAACTTATTAGTATTTTATTTTACCTAAATCATTTCAGATCAAAGATCACATTTAAAAGTGCATTATACCAGTCACAAGGCAACCTCAATACTCATTATTTTATTGGTGTACAACACCTACAAGTAAATGAGCAAGATATGTGCAACAGTTAGGTGTCCTTGTCAAAACATTTCACTTAAACAGTAGGCTTATTCAGTTGAATACAGAGGTGACTAAATACTGGAGACAGCAGAAGCAGTGGAGAGGTAAAGATGAAGTGGTCAATCCCTCAGCTTTGATTAGTGTTCAGCAACACTATAGAGCTGAACATTTTTCAAGGAACTGACTACCTCAAACTATTTCAAGGCTGTGGAACTGATCACATCATCTTTACTTCTCCACTGCTTCCAGTAGTTAATCACCTCTGTTATTTGACTGAAATAGCCTGTACAGGTGAAAAGTTACAACAATAAGGATATCCAACTGTTGCACATTAAGTCTTACTCATCCAGCCCTTAATACACTACACTAAAATGATTATAATGTGTCTTACTTATCAAACCCTAAACTTTTACAGTACACTAAATAATTTTAAATAAATATTAAAGCCCAAGAAAGTTAGTGGGGTTTCTGAGCTGAAAAATTGAGACTGTAAAAGAAGACAATATAAACATAACTCCTGAAAACACATATCACAGACCATACATAGCACTAATACCCATCATGCCTTGCTAACAAAACCAAGATATCGTGATAGTCTGATTTATCAAAGCTTTTCTGTCCTCTACAGGCACTCCGGGCATGAAGAGGACAGTACAAGCATAGTATTTTGGGGGGAACACACAAGTGCCACACAGGACAAGACAAAAAATAACAATGGCAGTTTACCTGCCCTATTGCTCTGCAATTAAATTCCTACATAAATATTTACATATTGTATTCTCTGTATGTAAGTTGATTATAATATTGATGATAGTGGTATTGGCAGCACACCACTGCCAACACTATTATTAATGTACTAGCATTATTAAAACATCCAGATAAACCAACCATAACCATATGAGAAGAAACTAACCTTAAAGTTCAAAATAAACATTTTGTAAATTGAAAAAGTACCCCTTAATTTATAGAAGGGGCAATGTAAAAAAAAATTTTATTTGTTTTGAGCTCAGTGTGTTTCCCCTCAATCTACAGCTGCTTATGGCTGGTAACTTATTGCAATTCAAGAGGTTTTTAACCTAAATTTTTAATAAACTCTTACAAATTTCAAGAAAATCCTCAAAATCTATATATACACATTTTTTCTTCAAAGCGGCACATGCAAAAAACTCTCGGACATAACACAAATATGAGAAGAGTACTGCACATTTCATCCACAATTTAATTGCAATCTTGCAGAACCACTAAACTCATAAGGGCTGTACAGTACCTGAGGACTAAGAGATTAATAGATTTGATAGAAAGAAAGGAATAGTGCTAATCTCTTGGATCAAGAACTCTTCAGCATCAAGGCTCAGCATTCAGTAACTACAAATGTGAACAATTATGTATATACTATAACACCATAGCCTTTACAAAGCTTATACTGTACAGCAATACATTGTCTGACAACAAGACTCTACTTATTGAAATACACTGACCCATGATTTTTACACCAGTGTTTGTTAAAACATACATATACCCTTCAAGTAGAAATGACTTGATGTTGATTAAAGGCTCTTGATCCAAGAAACTGGAGTTACCCCTCCACTTCCTGGTGCTGTATATACCTAATGGGTTGGGTGCTTCCCCATGAATATATTAATTTAATACAATATAAAACTATTGTGTACACACACACACACACACACACACAGCATTTCTGTCGCCCACTTCCTATTACCTTTCCTTCCCTCCTACATGCTCCTTCATCTACTCTCTTTCTCCCTTATCCCTGTCACTCCAATGCACACACTTCTTTCCTCCCCAATCCCCTCCTAACATTGTATTTCACCATACCATCTCCAAGTTCATTAAGTTCCATTCTTACTACGCCAATTAACCCACCCCCTTCAAATCACATCATTTATCTTAATCTTATCTTATCTTATCTTACAACCCTTCTACTGAGAAGCACTGGTCAAGTACACAAAGATATAACTATAAGCACAAACGTTCTCTGCCTCTTCTCAAATACAAGAGGAAATTTCCAGATCTCCAACTGTTCTCAAGAGAAAACTTAAAAAGTTCCTGAAAACCGTTCATGACCAACCAGGTGGTGATATATATGTTGAACGTGTGTGGCAACTATCAACAGCCTGACTAACCAGACTGTCATCAAGGAGACTGGACCACTGGGTCAATGATACCTGGTAAGACACAGGGTAGAATACCTTCCTTCCATTAACAGAGTTCATACCACTTACACTTTACCACAATGAAGTATCTTCCCATTTATTGCTTTTCCTTATGCTGGTCTTGAAGCATATGCAGGACTTTGTTTAACCACTTCATCCAGTTTGGCAGCATATAATTCACTCTCAATTGGTTTACTGAGCTGACACAGAGGATTGCAGACTATATACTCTACATATACCTGTTAAGAAAGAAGAGTGCCTTCATAAACTTGTACTCAAAATAAAGAACAACTTATTTAATATACAAGTACCATCCAACTTATGACCAAGCTTGGTTTCGACCAACTGGTCGTAAGTCAAAAAGGACGCAAGTCGAACCTTACAAAATTGCAGACATACTGGGCAGGGCATAATGTCAAACCGTTGCTATATAAAGTACCTACATAGTATTGTTACTGTTTACTAAATATTTTACTACTGTAAAGGTACACATATCAGTACAGAGCAGTTAATACAGTATGGTGCTGCTGATAGGGCAGAGTAACTCTAAGTGATGCTGCCCGAGTGATGTGAGAGCTCTCCCGAGATGGTGCTTTGCTGCGAGTAGCGGTCATCTGTCGCACAGCAGTATGCATCGGCCCATCCAGCCCTGTTGCCAGACGTACGATCATAAGTACGAGTGGTCGTATGTCGAGCGGGTCAAAAGTCGGATGGTACTTGTACATATCTTGACATTTTAAAACAAATGATTACTTAAAGATATGACAATGCTTGTGAATTTTCATTGCAATATTATTCATATGCAAAAATATTTTGAATTTTAACCAGAAACATTAATTCTATGCAATAATCTTTACCAATAAACTGATTTCACTCCATTCAATATGTGAGCTTATTCAATCCACTATGGCAAAAACAAGTGTTTTTCTTCAAATAGCCTTCAACTAATTACTCATTTGACTCTAAGATTATTACTAGTAATTCTATGTCATCACTGAAGACTGTTCACTCACATAATGATTAACATGTTCACTGGAGAAGCCAGATACAGATACTAAAAAAAATACGGAAAAACAAATTAACGTACATAAGGTTGATATGTTATCCAAAAAAAAGTACCCTGAAGAAAACGTAGAATATAACTTTGGTGTGTCTGTGTCTAACATTGGGAATAATATTAGGAAGAGAATTAGATAAGTATGTTTATGGAGCAACTTGTAATATGAACAGATTGACTGATGTTGTACTAGCCAAGCTTAGGGTTGGCTACAAGTACTTCTGGCAGACGCATACATGATGATCAAACCAGATACAAAGTATGTGACCAGCACTATGGTCACATACTTTGAAAACTGTGCTTAATTGTCCACTTATTGCGAAATATATTGATACAGTATGTGATATGTCAAGATATCTTATTAATGAAAATAAGATACCAGACATATTTAAGCAAATTTCCTAAAGTTGATAGATTAGACGCATATGCTACACTTGGGTATCTTTATTGAGGAAACATTTTGCCACACAGTGGCTTCATCAGTCCATACAAAGGATATGCTGTATTCTTTTCAAGACATGGACTGACTACATCAACTCAAGGCTCATGGACTGATTACCTCAAACTCCTCCTGTTCTTCACCATTCTCCTTTGTATGGACTGCTGAAGCCACTGTGTGGCAAAACGTTTCCTCAATAAAGATACCCAAGTGTTGCATGTGTGTCTAATTTATCAACTTGTTGGTTCTGTGAAGTATTCATCTACATTCCTAAAGTTGCCTGCAATAGATAAGTCAACTATAGATATCAATCCAGATGTACTTATGTACATCCATTTGGGGCCTAGTTTGTAGATCTTTTGTGCATCCGTATGCTATTGCGCTACCGTCCACAGGATGGATATGGGGTGGACAATAAACCCCATAAAATCTAAAATCTAAATCAATGTACAGTGGAACCTCAAATATCGAACTTTCTTCGGTCCAGAAGGCTGTTCGAGTGCCTTTACCGAATTAATTTATTCCCATCAGGAATAATGTAAATTAGATTAGTCCATTTCAGACCCTCAAAAATACACTTATAAAAGCACTTAAAAAATACACTTACATAATTGGTCGTGTTGGGAGCAGTTCGATTTTTGAGGTTCCACTGTACTTCTAACGTGCTCTACACTTCTTCATTGCAAAACTTTATATATTTATACCTGCACAGTACTAGATTCTGGCTCATATATCCTTACTTGAAATATGCAGTATTTTATATCTCTTGGAATTTCAGAAAACACTGTCCATTTTTTTATAGGGACAGTTTCCAGCAGAATTTATGACTAAGAAAAATTTAGGACCTGGAGTGACTAATGTAAGTTTGTTATAGAATATTTAATGAATTAAACATTTCCTTGTTTAATTTACTGGTTTTCTTCAACACTGTCATGATTCATATTATTAATAGTGTAAGACAAGCAGTCACAGAAAATAAATTTGTACCTTTTTTTTTTTCTATTTTTTTTTTTTGTTGCTCCATCTGAGAAATGGGACAATTGAGGAGATGGTGTGTCCAGTAAGTAGGCAAGCAAGTATGTTTATTCTCAGTGAAAGAAGGATGGGCATTAGTCAAAACATGGCTCACCCTTCATCATCCATTCAACCACCCCTTACCATATCATACTTTAATGAATATAAAACCTAAATGCAGCTTTCCATCTGAATAAAGATGGAAGCATGAGAACTTAATGTGATATGAGAGCAATGAAGTACAGAAGATGAAAAAAATCAAGCCTAAATCTTTCAACAGAAGCTGTAAAAGAAAATATTTGTCATATGCAAGTGTCAATTACACATTTCAAGATACAGTGGAACCTCTACTTATGAGTTTAATCCGTTCCATGACCTTGCTCGCAACTGGATTTGCTTGTTTGCAGAGTCAATTTTCCTCATTTAAATTAATTGAAATGGAATTAATTCATTCCAGTGGAATTCCAGGCACGAGAAAATTCTTTAATAATTTCCCTAATATCAACTGTACAGCTTATTTATTTATCACAATTCATGTAATATGACATAATAAACAATGTTAATAACATAGAAACATGATATATACACTAGAATGAATAAAATACATGTCATTAGGTATGTGGCTAGTGGTGGTGACAGCAGAATTGTTGTTGGGGTTTATAGGGCCACCACAGCAGCCATTCCTGCTCCTGACATGTGTAGAGAACCTAGGATAACCCAAAAAAGTCAGACAGAGTGACTTGTAAGTGTTATACTCTTAATGCTTCACTTAACTGCTACATTTTTAATGCTACACTTAATTGCTACACTCTTAATGCTACACTTTGCCACTGCTGCTTCATGTTGTCTGCCACTGCTGCTACCTCATGATGTCTGCCACTGCTGCTTCATGTTGTCTGCCACTGCTAAATCATGATGCCTGTCACTGTTGCTTCATGTTGTCTGCCACTGCTGCTTCATGTTGTCTGCCACTGCTACCTCATGATGCCTGTCACTGTTGCTTCATGTTGTCTGCCACTGCTGCTTCATGTTGTCTGCCACTGCTACCTCATGATGTCTACCACTGATGTCGCTATTTTGAGCTCAGTTTCAAGGTACTTGTCATCATGAAACCAATTAAAATCATATTTATTTTTGTAGTATATCTTCCATTCTATCACATGAGACCAAATAAAACGAGAATACAACCATAAAAACCATACGAAAATATACTGCTAAGGGGAGGCTAATGGCTGAGAAGTGAACTCCGTTATTTATGGTCCGATTTCTTTCATTTTTGGTGTACGTTAAGAAGCATCTTTACATCATACACTGCCCATGTTTCAATAAGATAGTCCAACAAACAACGGAGATCCAATTCCCTAGATCAAGAGCAAGAGCCCCTTCACCAGTGTCAATTAACCTCCCTTGAGGCCCACTCGCATCTGGAAATTTTGCTCGCATCTGGAAGCAAAAAACAACTGAGCAGCTGCTCGTATCTGGAAAAACTCGCACATGGAGGCACTCGTAAGTAGAGGTTCCCCTGTACATGTATACCATATTTCGCAGCTTATTAGATGCATATTTTTTCCATAAAAAGTCTCCAAAAACCACCCTGCGTCCTATAAACTGAAGGTCAGTGACGGGTGCTATAAGTTTGGGGTGTGGGGTGGGCTGTAGCTCTCCCAGTTACGTCCAATGCCAAGCCATTAAAATTAAAATGAGTCTAAAAAGTCGCGAAATACAGTACATACTTCAGAATACATTGACACATACTTGTGTATATATCTGATGAAGGAGCTCTTTTATACCCTGAGCATGTACATCAGTATTAAGGATAAATTTTAATCTTGATGGAGTCTCGTAAAGATTAAGCCGGTACTTGTTGGTGGTATAGGTGAGGTAACCTTCTCGCAGATCCACAGGAGAAACCTGTTTTGAGAGAGATAACTGTCATTAAAAGTGCTGTAAGCCAATTAGTTTCTAGTATAAGTGAGAAAATTTGCCTACGGGTATTATTAGATACTGAAGCGTTCATTTTCACCAATATTTTGAGGAATTGTTAAATGTTGATGAAGATAGGGAAGCTGTGATTTCGTGTATAGGGCAAAGAGGAATAACATCTTGTAGGAGTGAGGAAGAGCCAGTTGTGAGTGTGGGGGAAGTTCGTGAGGCAGTAGGTAAAATGAAAGGGGGTAAGGCAGCCGGGATTGATGGGATAAAGATAGAAATGTTAAAAGCAGGTGGGGATATAGTTTTGGAGTGGTTGGTGCAATTATTTAATAAATGTATGGAAGAGGGTTTGGTACCTAGGGATTGGCAGAGAACATGCATAGTTCCTTTGTATAAAGGCAAAGGGGACAAAAGAGAGTGCAAAAATTATAGGGGGATAAGTCTGTTGAGTATACCTGGTAAAGTGTATGGTAGAGTTATTATTGAAAGAATTAAAAGTAGACGGAGAATAGGATAGCAGATGAACAGGAGGCTTTAGGAAAGGTAGGGGGTGTGTGGACCAGGTGTTTACAGTGAAACATATAAGTGAAAAAGTATTTAGATAAGGCTAAAGAGGTCTTTCTGGCATTTATGGATTTGAAAAAGGCGTATGACAGGGTGGATAGGGGGGCAATGTGGCAGATGTTGCAGGTGTATGGTGTAGGAGGTAGGTTACTGAAAGCAGTGAAGAGTTTTTACGAGGATAGTGAGGCTCAAGTTAGAGTACATAGGAAAGAGGGAAATTATTCCCAGTAAAAGTAGGCCTTAGAAAAGGATGTGTGATGTCACCGTGGTTGTTTAATATATTTATAGATGGGGTTGTAAGAGAAGTAAATGCGAGGGTATTGACAAGAGACGTGGAGTTAAAAGATAAAGAATCACACAAAGTGGGAGTTGTCACAGTTGCTCTTTGCTGATGACACTGTGCTCTTGGGAGATTCTGAAGAGAAGTTGCAGAGATTGGTGGATGAATTTGGTAGGGTGTGCAAGAGAAGAAAATTAAAAGTGAATACAGGAAAGAGTAAGGTTATGAGGATAACAAAAATATTAGGTGATGAAGATTGGATATCAGATTGGAGGGAGAGAGTATGGAGGAGGTGAATGTATTCAGATATTTGGGGGGTGGACGTGTCAGCGGATGGGTCTATGAAGGATGAGGTGAATCATAGTATTGATGAGGGGAAAAGGGTGAGTGGTGCACTTAGGAGTCTGTGGAGACAAAGAACTTTGTCCTTGGAGGCAAAGAGGGGAATATATGAGAGTATAGTTTTACCAACACTCTTATAGGGGTTTGTGAAGCATGGGTGATGAATGTTGCAGCGAGGAGAAGGCTGGAGACAGTGGAGATGTCATGTCTGAAGGCAATGTGTGGTGTGAATATAATGCAGAGAATCCGTAGTTTGGAAGTTAGGAGGAGGTGGGGGATTACCAAAACTGTTGTCCAGAGGGCTGAGGAAGGGTTGTTGAGGTGGTTCGGACATGTAGAGAGAATGGAGCGAAACAGAATGACTTCAAGAGTGTATCAGTATGTAGTGGAAGGAAGGCGGGGTAGGGGTCGGCCTAGGAAAGGTTGGAGGGAGGGGGTAAAGGAGGTTTTGTGTGCGAGGGGCTTGGACTTCCAGCAGGCGTGTGTGAGCGTGTTTGATAGGAGTGAATGGAGACGAATGGTTTTTAATACTTGACGTGCTGTTGGAGTGTGAGCAAAGTAACATTTATGAAGGGGTTCAGGGAAACCGGCAGACCGGACTTGAGTCCTGGAGATGGGAAGTACAGTGCCTGCACTCTGAAAGAGGGGTGTTAATGTTGCAGTTTAAAAACTGTAGTGTAAAGCACCCTTCTGGCAAGACAGTGATGGAGTGAATGATGGTGAAAGTTTTTTTCTTTTTCGGGCCACCCTGCCTTGGTGGGAATCGGCCAGTGTGAATAAAAAAAAAATTTCATTACTGTAACAACACATATGTCAGTCCAGCATATCATAGCTACCAGTGCACATACACTATTAGTAATGAATGATCCATAAGGATATAAAGAGCTTTATAATAACATTTTTTTTTCTGAATCACTGAAGAATTTGAACTTCCACAGCTTTTCAACAAGCATTGAATTTAGTCAGCCAAATCTATGTCTCAATAAAATTGCTAAAAATTAAAGTGAATAAAGATGAAATACAACATTCCAAAATGTGAGGATCCTCTGACATACAATAATAGATCAATGTTTAATAAATATTTGCTTCAATGGCCCTACGTAGCAATTTATTCCACTCATATACTGTCAAACCTAGTGTTAAACCCATAAGGGATATAGTGTCTGGGAAATGGGAGGTAATCAAAATTGATCCAAGTGGAGAATAGCTCCAATTCCTTGGATCAAGAACCCTTCACAGGCAACAAAGCACCTCTTGAAGGAAAATAAATTGGCAAATGTTGAAACTTTTTTTTTCTTTGACACCGTCTATCTCCCACTAAGGTAGGGTGACAAAAAAAGAAGAAACACTTTAATCATTACTCGCTCCACTGTCTTACCAGAGGCATGCCACTACCACTGTTCATATGCCCCTGCAAACTGCAAATATCCTCACCACTCCTTCAGAGTGCAGGCATGTAATTCCCACCTCCAGATCTCAAGTCCAGCTACCTGGCTTCCCTGAATCCATTCATAAATGCTACCTTGCTCACACTCCAACATCTCAGTTTCTTATGTTTACCAATTAGTTTTCTTCCCCAGTAAATGACATTTACTACAGTGATAAAACAGCATCTGGGGGCCCCCAGAAATGTCATCTTATTGACACACATTTCCATCACTGAACCCAATGGAGTATTGCATGCCTGTTACTTTAATGACCCTCAAAAAAGGAATAAATTTTAAAAATTTTCAAATTTCTAATTCAAGGGGCTATCAAAAATTTCCTGGATTGCCGTGAAAAAAATACATAGGCTTGCCTAATCACTTAATTGAACCTGTCTCTCTCAAAGTATTGTCTGGGAGGCTATACACTGATCCCAGCACCTCTGCCACTGTTTCAAACATTTCTAGAAGTCTTCTTTCCTAATGGTATCTAGCACAGCCTGCAATTCGTTAAATTTCCCCCCAAATTTTTAAAAAAATGCTGCCCCTTGATGCCATTTTTTTTTGGGGGAAGAGAAAGAAGTACAGGGAGTAATCTGTGGAGTGGGAGGGTGGGGGTGACTGCCATGTATTTTTAGCCCCCAAAACAATGGTTTTCTGGTTTTGAGTCAGTAAGCAGAGCAAAATTTTTTGATCCCTCCCCTCATTTTTCAAATTTTTAGTCAAAATTCTTTGACAAAAAACCCCATATGAAAATTACCCCCCAAATTACTTGCAAGTCCTGGTTGCTTGACGTGTCTTTTGAATACCCTTTCCCCTCCTTTTTAAATGTTGTCATCTTTTTTTTGACTTGATGGATGACCAGAGCTTTCTTCACTTTCAACTGACATTCGTCCTGTTTGGGAATTGAGAAAAACCATTCAAAAACACTGTGCCCAACCATTGCTTCATCCCCCAAATGCTTCCTAAAGCATTTGTGAGTTTCATAGCTGTTTTACCAAGTCAAAACAAAAATTTTTACACACACACAAACTCCTTCGATAGCCATTTGGTAGAGCGGGGATTGTAGTTGGTTGAAAAAGCAGGAATTCATAGGTCATGGTTTGAACCCATTTCGAAGGATTGTTTAATCCATGTTGTTAGTGGCTAGGATACGCGGTCTCACCGCGGGGCCCCGGGTTTCGTTTCCCGGCATGGGAAATTTTTGTAGCGCCCAGTGAAGAGGGGGGGGCCGGAGTTTGGATCGACCCCTGCAACCTAAACTAGGTGAGTAACTTTTCTTTTTTTAAAGAATCCAATTTTTACTAAAAAAAAAAATTATAAAAACGTAGTATGCTTGACAAAAAATGCCTTTAAAACCTCACGAATAACCGCTGTGGAAACCTGCCAAGCTATTCAAAAAGGAATGTATTGTTAGTGTGATCTACACTCCCCCAATTTAACCAGGAAGTACGTGAAATTCGAGAACAGTAATTTTTTGTAGCCGAATATTATTTATGTGTTATAAAAAACACTACAAAATCATAATGAAACATTATTGCAAAGCTTGAAATTTAAAAAAAACAAAAATAACCCTTTTAAATACAAAATGACCCAACCCCATTTGCACTTTCAAAAAAATTATTCATTACATTATTTTTTTTTTTTTATTTAATGGCCCTTCCCCCCAAGGGAGGGTGGCCGAAAAAGAAAAAAATTCACCCTTTATTCACTCATCACGTCTTGCCGAAGGGGCTTTACCTACGTTTTAAACTGCAACATTAACACCCCAACTTCGAGTGAGGCATGTATTTCCCATCTCCGGATAAGTCCGGCCCGCCGGGGTTTCCTGATTTCCCTTATAAATGTTACTTTCCACATCCCAAAGAAAGTCAAGTATTAAAAACCATTTGTCCCATTCACCTATCAAAACGCTCCGATGCCTGCTGGGAAATCAAACCCCCCGCACACAAAACCTCCTTTTCCCCCCCTCCAACCCTTCCCAGGCCGACCCTCCCGCCCTTCCTTTCCATACGACTGATACCTCTTGAAGTCATTCTGTTCGCTCCATTCTTCTAATGTCCCCAACCACCCCAAAACCCTTCCTCAGCCCCCTGGACAAAGTTTTTGGTAATCCCGACCCCTCCTAACTTCCAAACTCGAATTCTCTGCTTTATTCACCCCACATTTCCCCTTTGACATGCTCCCATGCCTCAGCCTTTTCCCCGTGAACATTTCACCCACGCTTCACACCCCCTTTAAAGCGTTGGTAAAAACTAAAATTCATACTTCCCCTCTTGCCTCCCAAAACAAGTTCTTAGTCTCCCCAGATTAAGTGCACCCCCTACCTTTTTCCCTCATAAATTTTAGATTCACCTATCCTTATAGACCATCCGCTGAACCCTCCCCTCCCCAAAAATTTTGAATTCGTTCACCTCCTCCATACTCTCTCCCCAATTGTATTCAATTTTCATCACCTAATCTTTTTTTTTCTCATAACCTTACTTTTCCCGTATTCACCCTTTAATTTTTTCTTTTTTAACCCCCACCAAAATTTATCACCAACTTGCGCTTTTTCAGAAACTCAAAAAGGCCCGTGTCTCAGCAAAGGCAGCTGTGAAACTCCCCCCTTGTGTGTTTATTCTTTATCTTTTTAAATCCACGGCCCCTTGCCAAGACCCTGATTTATTCTCTTTAAACCCATCTTAAATATATTAAACAACCCGGTGAATCCAAAATCCCTTTTCTAAGGCCTACTTTTACTGGGGGGAAAAAAAAATTTCCCTTTCTACTACTTAATTGAGCCCCACTACCTCGTAAAAAAATCTTCCTGCTTTTAGTAACCCATTCCTACACCTACACTTGCAACATCTGCCACTTGCCCCCTTCCCCCTGTCATACGCCTTTTCCCAAATCCATAAATGCCACAAGACCTCTTTAGCCTTATCTAAATACTGTTCACTTATATGTTTCACTGTAAACACCTGGTCCACACACCCCTACCTTTCCTAAACCCTCCTTTTTTCATCTGCTAACCTATTCTCCGTCTTACTCTTAATTCTTTCATTTAAACTCTACCATACACTTACCAGGTACACTCGACAGACTTATCCCCTATAATTTTTGCACTCTTTTTTATCCCCTTTGCTTTATACAAAGGAAATATGCATGCCTCTCTGCCAACCCTAGGTTACCTTACCCTCTTCCATACATTTATTAAAAAATTGCCACCAACCACTCCCAAAACTATATCCCACCTGCTTTTAACTTTCTTTCTTTATCCCATCAATCCCAGCTGCCTTACCCCCTTTCATTTTACCTACTGCCTCACGAACTTTCCCCACACTCACAACTGGCTCTTCCTCACTCCTACAAGATGTTTTCCTCCTTGCCCTATACACGGGAAAACACAGCTTCCCTATCTTCATCAACATTTAACAAATCCTCAAAATATTCCCCCATCTTCCCAATACCTCTAACTCTCCATTTAATACCTTCCTCTCCTATTTTTAATGACAAATCCATTTGTTCTCTAGGCTTTCTTTTAAATTGTTAATCTCACTCCAAAAAAAATTTTTCTTATTTTCAACAAAATTTGCTGATAACATCTCACCCCTCTCTCATTTGCTCTCTTTTTACATTGCTTCACCACTCTTTAACCTCTCTCTTTTTTCCATATACTCTTCCCTCCTTGCATCACTTCTACTTTGTAAAAAACTTCTCATATGCTTTAACTTTTTCTTCCTTATACTCTCTTTACATCATCATTCCACCAATCGCTCCTCTTCCCTCCTGCACCCCCTTTTCCCGTAACCACAAAATTCTGCTGAACACTCTAACACTACATTTTTAAACCTACCCCATACCTCTTCGACCCCATTGCCTATACTCTCATTAGCCCAACTATCCTCCAATAGCTGTTTATATCTTACCCTAAACTGCCTCCTCTTTTAGGGTTTTTAAACCTTCACCTCTCTCTTCCCTGATGCTTCTATTTCCTTGTATCCCATCTACCTTTTACTCTCAGTGTTTGCTACAACTAGAAAATGATCTGATATATCTGTGGCCCCTCTATAAATGTACATCCTGAAGTCTACTCAACAGTCTTTTATCTCCCAATACATAATCCAACAAAACTACTGTCATTTCGCCCTACATCAATGTGTATACTTATTTATCCTCTTTTTCTTAAAATATGTATTACCTATAACTAAACCCCTTTCTATACAAAGTTCAATCAAAGGGCTCCCATTATCATTTACACCTGGCCCCCCAAACTTACCTCCACACCCTCTCTAAAAGTTTCTCCTACTTTAGCATTCAGGTCCCTCCCACAATTACTCTCTACTTGGTTCAAAGGCTCCTATACATTCACTTAACATCCCCCAAAATCTCTCTCTCTCCTCTGCATTCCTTCTTCCCCAGGTGCATACACGCTTATTATGACCCACTTCTCGCATCCAAATTTACTTTAATCCACATAATTCTTGAATTTACACTTTCATATTCTCTTTTCTCCTTCCATAACTGATCATTTAACATTACTGCTACCCCTTCCTTTGCTTAACTCTCTCAGATATCCAGATTTAATCCCATTTATTTTCCCCCCACTGAAAATCTCCTACCCCCTTCAGCTTTGTTTTGCTTAGAGCCAGGAGTCCAACTTCTTTTCATTCATAACATCAGCAATCATCTGTTTCTTGTCATCCGCACTACATCCACGCACATTTAAGCATCCAGTTTTATAAAGTTTTTCTTCTTCTCTTTTTTAGTAAATGTATACAGGAGAAGGGGTTACTAGCCCATTGCTCCCTGCATTTTGTCGCCCCATACGACACGCATGGCTTACGGAGGAAAGATTCTTTTCCACTTCCCCATGGACAATAGGAAGAAATAAAAAAGAAAAAAGAGCTATTTAGAAAAAGGAGAAAAACCTAGATGTATGTATATATATATATATGCATGTGCGTGTCTGTGAAGTGTGACCAAAGTGTAAGTAGGAGAAGCAAGATATCCCTGTTATCTAGCGTGTTTATGAGACAGAAAAAGAAACCAGCAATCCTACCATCATGCAAAACAGTTACAGGTTTTTGTTTCACAGTCATTTGGCAGGACGGTAGTACCTCCCTGGGTGGTCGCTGTCTACCAACCTACTACAATAACTCACCTTCGTAACAAATGATTTGATGGAGAATATCATCCCGTACATCAGCTTGGCTTCCTGCAAGAAGCATAGAGTAATTATCAGTTTTAATCTGAACTAGCCTTTCAGGTCCATCAATACTGCTTCCCTGCCCTGTCTTACCAAACTGGTACATAAATCTGTGACTGGAGCAACAAGCTGACAAGTGATTATAAAGACACATAATGCAGAACAAGCTTTTATTTTAGTCTTTCACTCAGGACCGAGCTTTATCAAATTAAGCTTAATTCTGAGTGGACTATCATGCTTCGCCGTATTATACCTTTATACCTGATTTAAAAATCGTAGCTTTCTGTATATAAAGTAGCAATTTAATGACCACAGTAACTTCCTGGTCATGCAGTGTCAAACATCTAATTTTCAAATTAATGCAGAGCCATACAATATACCAACAGGTAACTAAGTATGAATAAGTACAGTGGACCCCCGCATAACGATGGCATCACATAGCGATTTTTCCGCATACCGATTACTTTTATCGCAAAATTTTTGCCGCGCATACCGATTAAAAACCCGCTTACCTTTTTTTTTTTTTTTTTCGTCCGAGACGCGCCCAAATGTGCCCTCAGCCAGCCTCACATGTGCCGGCCGTCCCATTGTTTACCAGCCAGCCTCCGCGGTAACATCCAAGCATACACTCGGAATATTTCGTATTATTACAGTGTTTTCGGTGCTGTTTCTGGAAAATAAGTGACCATGGGCCCCGGGAAGCTTCTAGTGCCAACCCTGTGGTAAAAAGGGTGAGAATTAGTGGGGGAAAATTAAGAAAGATTTTGAAGGGTTTGGGGCTAACCTGAGAAGCCTATGCCAGTTGTGGAATCCATTGTCCCTACTTCAAGATTAAGGAAATGTGTGCACAGTGGGTTGAATGCAAACCTTTATAGATGAAATCCCCCTGACACAGCTGTTGCAAGCCGTGCTGGTGACTATTTCAATGACAATGTTGTGGCCCATTTTAGACAAATCGTAAAGGAACGGGAGGTACAGAGCTCTATGGACAGATTTGTTGTGCGACAGAGGCCCAGTGACTCTCAAGTGTCCTAGTGGCATTAAAAGAAGAAGGGAAGAAACCCGGAAAAGGAATTGCTACCTCAAGTCGTAATGGAAGGGGATTCCCCTTCTAAACAGTAAGAAGATAATGCTCTCCCCTCCTCCCATCCCATCAATCATCACCAGATCTTCAATAAAAGTAAGTGTCATGTAATTGTGCATGCCTTTTTCAGTTTGTGTGTTTTAAAATTAACATTTCATGTGGTAAAAAAAATTTTTTTTCATACTTTTGGGCGTCTTGCACGGATTAATTTTATTTCCATTATTTCTTATGGGGAAAATTCATTCGCATAACGATTATTTCGCATAACAATTATCCCTCTTGCACGGATTAAAATCGTTAACCGGGGGTCCACTGTAATATCATATTATGTATACCTTTAGTGGAGATATCAAATAATAATAATAATAATAATAATAATAACTATAATTTATTTAGTAATTTTAGCATACATACAGAGGTACAAAAAAATACAGGTAAGAGCAGCATGCCAAAGCCACTTATATGCATAGCATTAGGGCTGGCTTAAAATTAACTTAAGATTAACTAAGCAATGATGAAATCAGTGATAAAACATTATTGTAAACAGATAACTATAAAGCACAAATGAGTATTACAAAGACAGGTCATATGGTTGCATGCATTGCTGTACATTCAGTCGAATGGGAAATATTTGTTAGGTAGTGTATTTAAAAAATAATAAAGTTAGATTGGGTCCTAGGTTTAACATTTGTGTGATATAATTGTGAGTAACATTTGGATATACAATTTATAAGGTTCAGTTATTCAGTATTTTATTGGTTTTGAGTGAGTAAGTGATCTTTGAGAAGAGACTTGAATTTATAAACAGGTAGTGTTTTTTTTATATTTACAGGTAATGAATTCCAGATTTTTGGGCCTTTTATGTGCATTGAGTTTTTGCATAGCGTGAGAAGGACACGAGGAACATCAAAGAGTGATCTGTGCCTTGTGTTATGGTCATGTGTTCTGTTGAGGTTGGTAAGGAGATGTTTGAGGGGAGGGTTAATTCAGAGTTAAGTGTTCTATGTATGTAATAGGTGCAGTAATAAGTATGGATGTTTTGTATGGTGAGTAGGTTGAGTGTTTTGAATATTGGTGGAGTGTGCTGCCTGTAGTGAGAATTTATCATCATTCTAACTGCAGCCTTTTGTTGGGTAATTAGTGGTCTGAGATGGTTAATTGTTGTTGAGCCCAATGCACAAATTCCATAGGTGAGATAGGGGTAAATAAGAGAGTGATAATAATAATAATTATAATACAGCCTCTCCTCACTTAACGATACACATGTAATTCTGTTCCTGAAACTATAGTTAATCTTTAAAAAATGCATTTTTTGCTAATAATTTTAGATGTCTGAAATGGATTAATTGGATTTACATTAATTCTTATGGGAAATATTATTTCGATATTTGGCCTTTTTGGTTTTAGGCCGACCTTCTGGAATGGACTACGGCCAATAACCGAGGGTTCACTATACTACGCTGGTAAACAAATTCGTCACTAAGTGAGGAACATACTATAATGGTAGTGAGTTTGTGTCAGCCATCTTTGATATTGTTTTAATGTCACCTTTGCACCATTTATAAAATTTTTAGTATATTTTTAAATGTTTATACAGTAGTGTACTGTATATTGCAGTAAACAGAACAGAGGAAATCAGCTCTAGTATACATTATTCAGGTATGCATACTGGTCAGAGAGCCCGTCCTAAGTCCGAGTCGTCGGTAAACAAGTACGTCGCTAAGTGAAGGAGGAAAAATTAATAATAATTATAATGAAACTTTAAACAAAATCTGAAAATATACTAACAAAATAACAAAACTTAGAAATAATAATTTCCAAATAACAGTAAAAAGATGAAGATGGTGTAAAATTTGAATTTTTTAAAAATAGATTTATTACTTTTATGTAAAATAACCCATTTGAAACCTTTCCCTTGTCTTTTTCCAGATTTGTTTATTTCGTGTCACTCGGCATAAGTAGAAGCTGACCCCCCGGTCAAAAAGGTAGAGTTTGAAAATTGTCATTTGGTGGAAACTGAAAAAAAAACAATGAATTAGTTTTTTTAAAGTCAAACAAAAATTAATACCCACTTTTTTCTTACCCTTTAAAAAAATGAATCTTTTTTGTTCCCAATTATGCTAAGGATAACAAATTTTAAATGTTTTAATCAGGGGGAAAAAACACTAAACCCAAAACAGGGACCCTACGGGCCCCCAAGGAAATTAGTGCTTTCAGGTCTGACCCAAGGAAGAGAAAAACATGTCCAGTTCCTTGAATCAAGAGCATCTCAGTGTCATAAAGGCCCCTCCCCTGGAGGGTGGTTGATTTATGGAAAGTTATGAATATGTATGTATATTGGAAAAAAAAATTCTTGAAGAAAAATTAAAAGAAATTTGTTTTTTTTACAAATCGGAACAAAAATTTACCTATAAATTCTGTTATTCTAATAAAAAAATTTTGAATTTATTTTTTCAAATAAAGTCTGGGATACAAATTTTTTTTCAAAATTTACTATATTAAAAAAGGAAAAAGGCTATCTGGACAGCAGTTTGTAATGAACAAATTTTTTAAAGGCTATGGGCAAGCCAGTGGTGTTACCCGTTTAAAAGGGTTTGATTAGGTTGATTAACTATAAGAAAAAAACAGTTACTGTAAATTTAACCCCAGATAAAAAAATTAAAAAAAATGAACAAAAACAAGTTTGGCAAAGCATTTAATTAAAAAAAGAAAGAAGAAGGGAAAACAAATAGAATAGTAGTAGTAGGTTGTTGTTTTTTAGTTATTAATGCGGGGGGGGAGAAGGGAGAGTTAACAAACAGAAAGCCAATTTCAATTAGGATCCTTTGGTCCCCCCCAGGATACGAATTTTGTTTAAACCGACTAAGTGAGTTTATTTTTAAATATGGGTTTCAAAATTCAGTTACTAAACTTCATCATAGCAGGAAAGTGAATTATCGATAACCCCAAAAAGTAGACAAAGTGATTTTTCCTTTGGGGGCCCAGGGTACGAATAAAATGTGTCTATTTTTGTTAGGTAAAATAAGGCGCGGTGTTCGGAGATTTTCCCATACATCCTGCCCCACCCCCAAAACCCGGGGGATTCAATTTTGAGCCTATGTATTCTGGTAACATAAAACCCAGGTAGTGACCCCATGGTACTTGGTGAGCCGAAATTCACATGAGAGGGCCAAAGGTTTTATTTTCGGATGGGTGGAAATGACCCCATTTCCCTTACACCTGTTGCCCTTTTCACCCAGGAAAATAGGTACCCGGGTGTTTGGTGAGGTGTGAGTTGCTTCTGGGAGAGAGAATTAAAAGACCCGGGATATAAATATACAGTCTGATGA